TATCAGTATCTTCATAAACCTAACCTTTGTCTTTAGCAGTTGGAAACACTACATATAAACTTAGAGGTATGTTTTAATACATACATACGTATATTACAGACATACAAACGATAAACATTCACTCCAATGATGAAGGAGAGTTGGTGTGTTGTCAGTTACGGTGATACCTCCACTTACGGAAGGTTCTGGATCACCTGCATCATCCCTGGGAGAAAGGCTGTTTCTCATCAGAAAATCACCAAGGTCATCTGTGTTGCCGGCATACGGCAAGTTGTTAATGAGTCTCCAATCCTGATGCCCTGCTTTTCTCCATATAGTCCAGCTTCTCAGATTATTTGCTCAGCATCCAGATTGAATAAATGTGGTGAAAGAATACAACTCTGACACACTCCCTTCCTGATTTTAAACCATGCAGTGTCCCCTGTTCTGTTTGAACAACAGTCTCCTGGTCTACGTACACGCTCCTCATGAGCACAATTAAGTGTTCTGGAATTCCCATTCTTCTCAATGTTATCCATAATTTGTTATTATCCACACAATCAAATGCTTCTGCATAGTCAATGCAATACAAGTAAACATCTTTCTGGTATTCTCTCCTTTCGGCCAAGGTCCATCTGACATCAGCAATGATATCCCTCATTCCACACCCTCTTCTGAATCCAGCTTGCATTTCTGGAAGTTCTCTGTCAATACACTGCTGCAACCGTTTTGCATTATCTTCAGCAAGATTTTACTGGCATATGATATTAATGATACTGTTTGATAATTTTCACATTCTTTGGGATCACCTTTCTTTGGAATGGGTATAAATATGGATCTCTTACAGGCAGTTGATGGTCAGTCTGGAAGCTCCGCTGAAACCTGTCCACATGGGTGACCCTGCTGTATCTGAAATACCAGTGGCATAGCCTCCAGCCTCACAGCAATACACAAGCCACCAAAGTACGACAAACTGATAGACGAGTGGTAGGTCCATAACCTATTCTGAGTTAATGTTTTAGACTTTGGAGTGTGAGCTGTACACATTCTTTTTATTTATTTTTTATTTTTGCAAAGGGACGTTCGATTGTTCATCTGTTGCAAAAACGACCATTTCCCCATGGACTGCTTTGCCCCTTTATCGAAGATCAGCTGCTGGTATCACAGGTCCGTTTCTGACCACTGAACTAGTCATTCCTGATCAATGATCTAGTCTGTCTGTTTTCAAGCTCATGCCTTCTCAATTGCTGTAGCCACAGAGTAAGTCTTGAATCAGGTAGGGAGCTCTCTGGCTTTATTCTTCACTACTGTGAGCATTTTAACTTTTAAATGTAGCTGTAAATGTGAGTAGGTTTAATTTAGTCAATTTGCTACTGAAATAACACATTAATTAAAGAGCCCTTAAATGAGATGGTCAGAAAACTGGAAACTGCCCAAACGTCAGCAGCAGGGACAGGACCAGCAGTGGGTGTAGACACCCCTCACAACACAGAGGCAGCTGCCGAACGACCCGGCCACCGGGGCAGCACAGAACGTGGTGCACGTGACGGAGCCAGCACAAGGGCACCGCTGCATGGCGGCCTTCATACGACATTCTGGCCCAAGTAGAATGAGGTGGCAGAAGGCCACGGGGCAGAGGGCACTCTCCGGAGTCAGGAGTGGTTACGTGCACATGGAACTTGTCGAAACGAGTTGTCTACTTAGATGAGACTCGTTTTACACAAGAAACCTGCTGTTTGGTGCCTTCAAGTCAGCCCTGACTCAAAGTGACCCCACGCACAACAGAACGAAGCTCTGTCAGGTCCTGCACCATCCTCACAATTATAGTTAGGCTTGAGCCCACCGTGGCAGACACTGTCGATTCATCTCATGAGGATCTTCCTCTTTGTCACTGACTCTCTACTTCGCCCAAGCACTATGTCCTTCTCCAGAGACTAATCCCACCTGATAACGTAATCAAAGCATAAGAGACAAGTCTGGCTATTCTCCTTTCTAAGCAGCATTTTGGCTGCGCTTCTCCCAGGACAGATTTGTTGCTTCTTCTGGCAGTCCATGGTATATTCCATATTCTTCACCAACACCATTATTCAAACACATCGATTCTTCTTTGGTCTTCTTTATTCATTGTCCAGCTTTCATATGCATATGAGGGGAATGAAAATACCATGGCTTGAGTCAGGTGCACCTTAGCCTTCAAAGAGACATCTTTGCTTTTTAACATTTTAAGGAGGCCTTTTGCAGCACACTTACCCAGTGCAATATGTCATCTGATTTCCTGACTGCTGCTTCCATTGATGTTGATTGTGGATCCAAGTAAAATAAAATCCCCAACAGCTTCAATCTTTTCTCCATGCATCATGATGTTGCTCATTGGTCCAGTTGTGAGGATTTTTGTTTTCTTTATATTAAGGTGTAATCCATACTGAAGACTGTAATCTTTGAAAATTAGACTTCAATAAAGCTGATTTAAGAAGGAAAATAAAACCAAGCCCCTGCCCACAGGTAACAAGACCTTCTAGATTCATAAGAACACAACACACGGCCTTAGTTTTACAGCTTATAGAAAATGATATTCAAAGCACAAGAGACAAGTCTGGCCATTCTCGTTTCTAAGCAGCATTTTGGCTGTGCTACGTAGACTCTTAACACACGAGTGACTTTGGGAAGTCTTTTCTGTGCACAAAAACTATCATCAAGGGCACTGAGGTGCTTGCAAAGAATAAAGACACACAGCTCCCAGGCCTCAGGACATGCAGGTATGTGCTGGGGACATGGGAGGACACGTGAGGGGTGTGCTGGGGACAGGGGAGGACATGCAGGGATGTCCTGGGATGCAGAGATGTGTGGGGGTGCACCAGAGGGCACACTGGGGAGACACATGGGGGGACATGTGGAGAATTCATGAACTTATGTTGGGGGACACACAGAGATGCACTTGGGGGTATTAGGCAGGAAGGCCCAGGAGGAGGGCTGCCAGCAGGTCCTTGTGGGGACAGTGGGAGTCCGGAGGGGGTGCTCTGAGGAGCCCCTGCACATACACATCAACTTTAGAGAAGTAGCCACTGTGCAGGGGACAGCATGAGGGACAGCAGAGGGGCCGCACAGCAGGTTCCAGGACCCAAGGGCCACTGGGAGGGGGTACACTTTGCTCCTGAAAGCACCAGAGAACGTAAGCTGGGAAGACATCCAGGGTCCTAAAACAGACCCTGGAACTCCTGTGGCACCAGGCGAGCAGGCTGCAGGAGGCCTGGTGCCCCCTCCCCAGGCTGGCACCACTGTTGTTCACTAATGCTGTCACATGGCGGCCCAGGAGCGAGGCTACTGCTGAAGCATGGGGATGCATTCACATGAGTCCTCAGTGGCTGCTGTGGCCCCGATGACAGCCCCTCCTCAGGGCGTGGAGCTCCTGCCCAGGCACCAAGGGAAATGCACCTCGGGAGGGCTCTGGGCTGGCTTAGCAGTTTCCTGACCTCAGACCCAGCCTCGAAGGTGACCAGCTGGCCTGCCTTTGGTCTACGCTCATCTTTACAGCAACTTCTGCCCAGCACAATGAGACCTGCTCGTTTGTGACGCAATGTCTCCCTCCGTACGGGGATGTCTCTTGAGTTGTGGCGAGTCCTGTGCCGTCAGTGTCCCCCCCACCCCCAGCATATGGGGACCCAGGTGCTGACAAAAAAGCTAAGGAGAAGACCAGGTTCAACTTCGGAAATTTCCTCCAGACAAACACGGGCAGCATGCCAACACCTCAATGTTTTCCAACATGCCACACGCTTAGCATCCCCAGGGTGACCTCCACAGGGACCAGGCACAGTGACAGCAGACCCATGAGGCCCCCAGCCCAGAATGCCTGGGCCTAGCACAGTACTCACCTACTTCGAGACTCTAATCACCCACCAGCTCCCTGCACCTGTGGCTCTTCTGCGACCCAGCACAGAGAGAAGGGGGAGGGAAAGGAAGACAGAGACTCAGAGAGAAACAGAGGTAAGGGGTAAGACCGAGAGAGAGAGAGAGAGAGACACAGACAGAGAGAAGGACAGACAGGAAGATCAAGAGACCCAAGACAGAAGTAGGCACCTTGCCTGAAGGACAAAATAAAGCAGGGAGGCACAGGTGAGAGGCCAGTGTGGCTGGGCCAAGGTGGGGTGGCAGGGGCAGCATGCATGCACATGTGTGTGTGTCTGTGCCAGGTCAGCTGCAGCCTAGAGGCCCAGGTAAGACACCTGGGCCTGGTTAGTGGCAGGAGCTGGGAGCTGCTAGATTGGGGAGGGGGCTTTATCTGATGAAAATATACAGAAGGCCACACAATAGAAGGGCATCGAGCGGCTTCCCAGCTTCCCACTTGGGGGTGCCCAGGAGAGCTAGGGCGTGGGGAAGAAGGTGTGCCTTGAGTGAGAGAACATGTCTGGCAGCAGAACCACAGGACTTGCCCATGAAGCAAACCTCCCTTGCTACCACACATCAGGCCTCTGTCCTGCCCCATGACAGCCTCTGGGCCCTCCTTGGCCCCTTCCCTGCCACTGGCCATCCCTGCAGAGCCCTGGCCAGGAAGCAGCCCTGGGCAGATGGCACGAGACGATGGCAGGGGCACGAGGACAGGACAGTTCATCACCCACAAGAAGACTTCAGCACCAGACATGACCTTTGGAGGGAACCCTGAAAGATGGTCTGCCCAGTTCCTGACATGAGGCCAGCACTTGCCAATCAGATGCTTGCCCCACGTCTTAAAGCTGGCTTAGTTTTCAGCAATTATTTGGGGTCAGCACCACGGACAGCCTCACCAGCCAGGGGCCACCACTCAGGGCCACAAACTGGTACCAGAGACAGCCAAGTCCAAGGACTGTCGTGGGAGGTGCCTCAGTCTTGCCTTGAGGGCATAGTGTGTGGTGTGAGCCAGTCACAGTGGACGACAAGGCACTCCAGAATTGTAGACTGGTGAGACTGGGACTGACTCATTCCAGAAATGCCGAGGGAGGTGGCAGTCCGCCCAGCCCCCAGCCTGCACACCCCAGCAGGACCGTCACCTCTTGGTATTGTAGGCTGTGTCCTGTGGCGTCTCCTCCAGCAGGGTCACATAGCCAAGGGCACAGGTGAGGATGAACAGCACGGTGAGGGTGTGGGCTCGCCTGTAATCAACACACAAGCACACATGTCAGAGGCAGGAGGGGCAACAGTGTACACAGCACATGCAACCCAACCACGTCCTTATAAACGAGACCTGTGACCTTCCTCTTCAACTCGTAAAACATGAACAACTGAGTGCTGTTGGCTGAGTGATTCCCACATGATGGTACATCTAAATGAGGTGGTGCTCAGATCCTGGGGAGGCCGGGAGAGGAGAGCCCTGTGCCCGGGGCAGCTGATGCGCAACACTCAGGGGGCCGTGCAGAGTGATGGGTGCTTCCAGCTGCTGCCGCTGCAAGGCTCATAAAAATGGACGGGGCAGTGACTGTATGCCGTGCCTGTCATGAAGTAAGGCTGGTTCTGTGCACAGCGGCCTGACACACCAACCGTAGAGACTAGGTGTGCACGTGGCCTTGTTGCAGATTCTGCCTGACGCTCTCCACCTCACAGTGGCTGCCCCTCACAAAGGAAGAGCGTGGCCTGAGTCACAACACCAGTTCCCAACCAGGAGAGCGTGTCGTTGGATAGCTCACTGGACCCTCACAGAAAGTGCTCCCAACCCCAAGGACACCACAAGAAGTGGCTTACACTCAGAAGGCATCTCGCACAGTATGCAACCCCAGCGCTGCAATGCCACAAAATGTAAATGTTTAAAAACAAGAGTGATACTGTGAAGAGAGTGAAAAGGCAAAAGCCGTGAAGTAGGAGGAAACAGCCCCACTGCGCGTATCTGACCAGGGATCTGTCTGGGACAGATAGAAGGCTCTTACAGCCCATGACAAATGAGAGCAGGAAACACGTGAAAAGATATGCTGCGTGGCTAATGACAGCAAAGGCAAGCCAAAGCCACGGTGAAACACCATCACACCTGCGCCAGACAGGACCAGTGCTGACAAGGATGCACCATTACCGAGCCCTCGCGTACTGCAGCGAGGACTGGCACAGCCACTCCAGGAGAGCCTCAGACCTGAACAGACATCTTCCTGACCAGGATGATTCTGATGGCTCAACTCCCAGGACGGAGTGGAGGGCCCAGCAGACCGATCAGACGAGAGGCTGCCAAGGGAGGCTGGGGAGCCCAATGGTCCTGGATGTTTAGAGGCAGCTTGGGGCTCTCGAGTGTTCTGAGGAGCTAATCACCAGGTAGAGGTCATCAGACAACAGAGAGACAGGACTTTCCCCTCCCCCTTGGAGGGCTGGGACCAGACCCTCAAGGGCTGTCACTCAGGCCAGGGGTCTGGAAGGCAGCAGCGTCTGTAAGAAAACAGGCAATGGAGCCTGTCTGAGGGAGGAGTGACATGACACAGACCAGTCACACCTGAAACCGTGCAGAGTGGGAGATTCTCAGGGGACAATGCTAAGCCAGTGCCAAGGCAGGCAGACCTGAACCGCCAAGGAGTAGCCACAGCGGCAGCAGGATGGAGCCCTTCACAAGGACATGATGCTGCTACGTGGCCATGACCCAGGTGCAGGGATGAGGCATCCCCTCTAAGTGCCCAGGCACCATGATCCCACAGCTCGTTCCTCCCTGTGCAGGCCCACAGTGGGGCTCCTGCTTCTACCAGCTCCGGCTTCACAAATGCAAAAGTCCAAGTGAAAACGAGACACCTTCCCCGTCCCTGCAGATGCTTTAACTTCCCACAAGCAACGACCTGTCACTTTGCTTGCTGGCGCAGTCAAGACTCAGTCCCACAAGTCAGCCCGGCTGGAGCACCACCCATCACCTGCCAAAGACGATGCTGCCTGCACTGACCACCCGTCCAGCCACTCGCCAGCCGTGCCCCCGGCCCGGGAAGAGCAATAAGGAACAAGTGGACCTAGCTCTGTCTCACCTGAGGTAGGACAGACTCCAGAACCGCCCCAAGCAGAGGCTCTTTGAAAGTGAACTTGACGTGAGTGAATTTAAATCAGGCTCCTCGCCAGCCCCTGGGGATGGCCCCACACACCGCAAGTCAGGGCTGCAAGGACGGCACAGGGAAGAGCCTGAGATCAGGGAGACTCTCTCTGGCAGGAGACGAGCTGCTCTAAGTCCTCAGTCCAATCACTCCACACGGTCAGCCAGATCCCGCCACCCCGAGTCGAAAATGCCCTTGCCATCACTTACTAGAGACAGCCACACTGGCTGTGCTGAGGTGGCAGTCAAGGCTGCCCTCGCCAACAAAAGGAGACCTGGAGGAGCCGTCCAGGAGCCAACACCCCCGGGGTCCCCTGCAGAGCCAAGGCCTCCAAGGTCCCCGGGATCCCCTGCAGAATGCTATGACAGGCGGTTGTGGGCCTCAGTCCCAGGCCCAGGGCAGGAGAGGTAACCTGGTCTCTGCAAATGAAATTCCACCTCCAAAGCCATGAGTGACCACTAAAAGGACAGGGAGGCGGCATCTTCTGACCTCCTCCAAACTCATGAAGGGAAAATAGAGTTATCATCTGCAGCCCAAGGATGATTCCTATGAGGCCAAACATGCCACCACTCTCCAATTCTGACACCAACCAACCCTCCCACGGTACTCATTACTTCTCTTCTGGGTTTGATAATTTGTTACAATGGCCACACACCACTCACAGACAATACCTAAGATTATGGTGCTTATCAGGGAAGTAATAGACTACAACTCAGGTTCAGGAATGCATTCAGAATACAATTCTTCCACCAGGACGGTCTCTCCTCTGCTGTCCTCAGGCACGCCTCTCTGGCCCCGGGCCTCTCAGCCTGGCCTCTGCCCTGCTCAAGCAAGCAGTGCAAAGCTCTTTTAACTCTGCCAAAGGTACACCTATGTGCACCCCACTCCGCCAGCAAGCCTCCTGCCCAAGGACACCCAGCTCTCTCGCTCTGTAGGCCAGGTAAGCCTGCCACTCTGTCTTGTTCCAGGTAAGCCTGCCACTCTGTCTTGTGCCTCTTGGTTCCACTGCCACCACCTCTTTGCCTTTCTGCCAAGAAGGTCCAACGCAGGGATGTCGGGTCCAAGGACGCACTCTACTTCACCTCCAGCTCTTTTCTCTTGATGGCAGTCGATCCCTGCCTCTAGGAGGACTCATTCCAAGCCTGGCAGAGAAACAAAACTAACCTACCCCAGCATCAGAGTCCCACACACTTTATATGCATGGTCCCACCCAGTAACCCTGTGGGAGTTACAGAGACGAGTGCTCGAAAATCCACACTTAGTCACTCACTGCCCCAAACTGACCAGTCCCAGCAAAGAGATGGAAAGGCTCACGCTCACGTCACTGCAGCTAATGGACCCAAAGAAACCCAAAGGTCCCTGGAAGTGAGAACCCCAAACAAGGTTGAGTCCTGCAAATGGTCCCTTCAGACACTTCGGGCCACAAAGTCAATTCCACAAATATAAACTTTTCGAATTAGTCTTTACCTGTATTACTTTTTTTTTGCATTTATGTTACTAAATTCTATAGAATGCAGTTGTTTTAAACCTTGGCATAGGCAGTCAGTGAGGGATTCTCAGAACAAAATCAAGGCCTGTTCCGAGGTAAAAAGTCATTCTCACCAGGGAGCCTCTCTGCCGAGTAGCACCCCAAACTCACCAGCGCACATGTGCACCCATCACAGGAAAGCAGAGCCACAGCAAGGAGACTCCCGAGTGGGACAGTGACAGCAGCCAGCCACACTGGCCCCCACCCTAGCCTCCTGACCCCATCAGTCCCTGTCACAGGGAACGCCTGTTACAGCCAAGGCCGTATGAACCCACGGCCACCCCTCCCAGACTGGGGACCTGTGTGCTCATCTCCCAGACTACAGGGATCCATGCAGGTGCACGCTCTCTGGATCAGGGACCCATACATCCATGGTCCCCCTGGGCTAGAGACCTGTGTGTGCCTGTCCCCACTGGACCAGAGACTCATGCATTCACCTCTCCCCTGGACCAGAGACTCCCATCTCGTGTTCCTCCCAGACCAGGGACCCACACGTCATGTCCCTCTTGGACCATGGCCCTGTGTGTATACATTCCCACTGGACTGGGGACCTGAGTGCTCACATCCCCCAGACCAGGGACTGACGTGCTCATGTCCCCCTTGGACCCATGCATGCACATTCCCCTCAGATCAGGAGCTCTTTAGGAGGGCTGGCCTGTGCCTGGCTCCACTGGCCCTAGACACCAGCACTCTTGACTGGCACCCTCTGCGCACTCTGGAGTTCCAGTCTGCGAGGGAATCCAAGCGCCTGGTCTAGTTCCCTCCCCGGGGAAGTCACTGGTGCCCAGCAGGGCCACAAATAACAGCTGGACGAGTGAATGCGTGAGCAGACACAAGGAAGTCGAGCCCAGCTGCAGCTCAAGAGCTGGAGAGGCTGACGGCAGAGTGCCACCGTTCCCCTGCCTCACTGCACACGCCAGAGCCCACAGCGGGGCTGCCCATGCGTCCCAACAGGAGACATGCATTTCTCTCATCCAGACACAGTCCCCTCTTCACACCCAAACCTTCCTTTCCACAGCCTGGACCCCATCTCCTGACACGGCAGTGAGCCTCCCCCTGTGGTCTCCACTTTTGAGCTGGCACCTTCCCTAAAGTGTCCAACCCCCCACCCCCCCACCCTGCCAGGTCCCCTATACTACGTTCCCCCCAGCTCCCTGAGGGCAGAAGCCAGGTGAACCACCTTTGTCCCCAGGGCCCACCCTAGGACTCAGTGATGTTTGTCACCAGTTTGCCTGTAGGTCTCCAGCAGGAGGCAAGAGTGCGGAAGGACTGTGAGGTCAGCAGGGCCTTGTCTTCACTTGCAAATGAGGAAAGAGCTTGAAAGGGCAGAGAGACTTGCCCAAGGTCACAGAGCCCCCAGGAGCCACCCTGGGACCCCAGCAGGCTCATCTGGTTCTCGCTGCGCCTGAGCCAGAGCAGGGACTCTGAAAGGCCCTGAGCTGCCCCTGGAGCGTCCCCTCCGGCCCCCATTAAAAGCCAGGCCAGGACTGAGTTGTTCAGGGTGCAAGGGACCAACGGAGCAGCAGAGCCTGACCAAACAAACAGCCAAACTGCAGGCGCACAGCAAGGCGGCTACCCA